AGTTAGAACATTTAAGGGGGAGGTTGCAAGTATTCCAGAAGTGGCCAGTTGCTGAACATCTGGAGCAGACTTGTGTAGATGTACATGTGTTTTTGTCGTGGCCGAATTTGTAGCATTTAAGACATTGTGTGATTGGGTGGAAGTTCGGAGTGAAGAGAGTGTTTGGAGGAATGCGGATGGTCTTGGCAAGGATTCCTTGACTGAAGAGTGTAGAGGCGTCAGCAGGAGTAGAACAGCGTATTTTGAGAATGGTAGAGTTTTCGGATCTGTAAATAACGTCAACAGAGACTTTGTTCTTAGTACTGATGTTTTTTATTAAGTCTTCTTTGTCTGTGTCATAGGCTGTCAGGAGAGAGTAGTCTACGTGTTTAGCAATGACTGTGCTTTTTGCACGGTGCTCAGGAGTCCAAATAATGGTGAAGCCTGCATTGAGAAGTTTTTGTCTGGTCTCGGTTGAGGTGTACGTTTTGTAGGAATGTTTGTCAAGAAGGAGTTTGAAGCCTGAGTTGGTTTTAAAGACTTTAAGTTGAGGTGCAGCAGTGATCTGATATAATAAATTTTCAGGACAAGATAGTGGCATCAGGATTAGAGAATTTGAGGTTTAGTGAGAAGGAATTAGATTTAGAAGAGGCAGAGGCAGCTGTGGGCGGTTGTGGGAGAGTGGAAGGGGGGTGGGAGGTGGAAGGCAACAAAGGCATCATCTAATTACGTAAAAATTAAATAAAAGTTGTGGCGATGACAATCGGCCAAAAAGTGAGAGTACTCAGCTAGGCAAGTACATGTAAGTAGACACATGTACTTACTTGGCGCAGGACACTGAGGAGGTGAACTGTAGCTTGATGGAGCACTGTATATCCTGAGTGGAAGCGAGACTGGCTGTATGGCGTGCAGTCGACAGGCGTAGAGACTTCAGGCAGCAACAGGCTTCCTGCCCTTGGGTAGGCAACCACCGACGCACCAATCCTGATGGTGAAGAGGAAGACGAAGCTCCAGCAAGCACCACTCTAAGCAAAGTCCCTCCCATAAAATGGTGAGCTAGAGTTCGTCACGGCCACGCTAGCTGGAGATTCGTCTGTAAAAACTTGCATTTGTGGTCACAATGGCGGCCTATGCTAACCTTCCTATGGTGTAGAAATATACCTAGTTGGACGAATCTTATTGTGGCTAGCTGGTCCAGTGGCTAACGCGACGGTCTGGAGTTTTGAGACTCCCTGATCGCGGGTTCTATCCCCACCTGTGGTATGGTTTGTTTGCAGTCGTGTCATTACGATTTCGTGAGTCATTCTAATCAAGTGATTATTCAATGGTTGGAGCCCCGCACATCACCTCTCGCCGGGTGTAGAAGGGTGGGTGGGGGTGAATAGCTGGAGCTAGACACTTGCCCTACCTTAACGAGCACATCACCATACATTCACTTGCTACTCCTATCTACTGAACTTTTCCCTCACAACCATCACCACAACTAGTCCCTCTACAACCATTCCTGCTACAGCCATTCCCTCCACAACTATTCCTGATTTTCCTACTACATACAGTCCCGCCACCACCATTCCATTTTAACCATTCCAGTCCCACCACCATTCCATTTTAACCATTCCTACTACAACCAGTCTCAGCACCACAACTAGTCCCGCCACTACTACTCTTGCATCTTGTTGATAATAAGATCAGCTGTCATTTGAAGAGGCATAGCAACCTTACAGGGTCAACGTCTCTAACTGTAAGGGGTACCTGAGTAATTTGCAGAGGGACGAACTGGAGAATCCGTCAGTGTTAGCCCCAAAACTGGATGGAGGATGGAGGGAACAGGAGAGATTTGTGGGGGAGGGGGAGGGAAGGCAAGAACGATATATATAGAAGATTCTTTCATGATTTATGAGAGTGTTTGTAGTCAGCCGTGAGGTTGGGCAGACGAGCTGTGAGGTACAACTCTTGACTCACGTTCCTTTACTCCATATTTTTACTGCTCCTTGATATACATCTCTCTACTTCTCCCTGACTACATGTCTTCACTGCTACTTGACTACATCTGTTCTTCAGAACTACAACATAGGCGTCCCGTAGCTCGATTGGTAGCGCACTCAACTCACTGAAGTCCGGGGGTTGATCCCCGATACAGGTGGAAATATTAGGACGTGTTTCCTTAAGACACCTGCTATCCATGTTCACCTAGCAGTAAAATAGGTACCTGAGTGCTAGCTGACCGGTGTGGGTTACATCCTGGGGATAAAATTGACATAATTTGCTCAGAATGCTCTGCCTCCCAGCATACATAAGGGGGATTACCAATAGACCCCTGACTGTCTTCAGGCAGGCACTGGACAAGCACCTAAAGTCGGTACCTGAACAGCCGGGCTGTGGCTCGTACGTTGGATTGCGTGCAGCCAGCAGTAACAGCCTGGTTGATTAGGCTGTTACTGCCTGATGAGGCCTGGTCACAGACCGGGCCGCGGGGGCGTTGACCCCCCGGAACTCTCTCCAGGTAAACTCCAGGTAATAAGAAGGGGCTTTCTATATAGTAGTATGTCACTGATGTCAACTATGGTCTGTATAAGTTGTATCATGTACTGGTAGAAATAAATAAATAACAAAAGGCACAATACCGTGACTGGAACGATACACAAATAACCCGCACATAAAAGAGAGAAGCTTACGACGACGTTTCGGTCCGACTTGGACCATTGACAAAGTCACACTGAAATAAAGATTATTATTATATTGTGGTTGGAGAACATGGCGATACAGTATGATAGCAGCATGGTATGCAATACCGACAGGTTCATGAATAAGACACATGTGAAACACCTAAGTATCTTTATTCATCATAGAGATACCCAGGTGTTGCACATGTGTCTGGTTCACCACAGCATGTAGATAAAGACATTGAAGCACTTATCAAGAAATGTTTCGCCACTCAGGGACTGAAAACGCCAACATTGGCGAAACGTTCCTCAGTCAGTGTCTGGAAACATACATAAATGTTTTTACCTAAGCGAAACACTGTGTACAGACAGACACTACGTAGATAACAAATATTGTTTTATAGTTTACGTTTCGCTCTTGATAAAGTTGATATGTTAGCCAAGAAGAGTATCCAGAAGGAGAACGTAGAATATAACTTTGGTATAACTGTGTCTAGCATTAGGAATAATATTAGGAGAGAAGTAAATAATGAAGATGATTGTTATAGGAATGTAGTTAGAAGCCTGAGTAGATCTATAACCCACTATGATAACATGAACGTAGATAAGTATGTTTATGGAGCAACGTGCAATGTGAACAGACTGATGTTGTAGTGGCCAGGCTTAGGCTTGGTTTCAAGTACTGACTGATGATGTAGTGGCCAGGCTTAGGCTTGGTTACAAGTACTGACTGATGATGTAGTGGCCAGGCTTAGGCTTGGTTACAAGTACTGACTGATGTTGTAGTGGCCAGGCTTAGGCTTGGTTACAAGTACTTCTGGCAGTTTGGGAGACACACAGATGATGATCAAACTAAATGTAAATTATGTGATCAGGCATATGGTCACTCTCTTGAACACTATGTGCTTAATTGTCCACTTATTGAGGAATACAGAGACAGACAGTATAATAACCTATGTGACATGTCAAGATATCTTATTAATGAAAATAAGATACCAGATATACTAAGCAAATTTCCTAAATTTGCTTGTAACAGATAAGTGAACTATAGATATGTAGATATAAATCCATATGTATTCCTGTTAACCCTTTGGGGCCTAGTTCCTAGGCCTTTTGTGTATCCACATGCTCTCGCGCTACCGTCCACAGGATGGATATGGGGTGCACAATAAACTAGCCACTTCGGTGGCAAAATCTAAAATCTATCTTGTATAGAGCGATCGGAGTGACTTAGTTCCACTGGGGTCCTTGTATATCGTGTTGTAAACAAGGCTGCAGGACTAGAGGAACGTGGAATAGATAAGGTGGACAGAGACAGGATGTTCCAGGGAGGGGACACAGAAACAAGGGATCACAATTGGTAGTTGAAGACTCAGACGAGTTACAGGAATGTTAGGAAGTATTTCTTCAGTCATAGAGTCGTCAGGAAGTGGAATAGTCTTGCAAGTGATGTAGTGGAGGCAGGAACCATACATAGCTTTAAGACTAGGTATGGCAAAGCTCAGGGAGTAGAGAGAGGACCTAGTAGCGATCAGTGAAGATTGTAATAAAGTTGGTAGAATTACCGACAATATGTAAAGTAAAAGGACACAAGTGCAACTAATGTGACATTTTATTGTGGCAACGTTTCGCTCTCCAGGAGCTTTATCAAGCCGTAATGGCTTGATAGTTGCACTTGTGTCCTTTTACTTTACAGATCAGTGAAGAGGCGAGTACAATTAGGTGAGTACTGCAGAAGGTCTACTGGCCTATCCTAGGTCTACTGGCCTCTCCTAGGCAAGTCCTCACTCATCTGTGTTCTCAAAACACTATCTTCATGGAGCCCGGTCCCTGGACCCATTACGTACCTCTGTAATATGTAACTATCTTTGTAACTTGTCATGATTGTGACCAGACCTACCTGGAGTTCATTACCTTTGTAATTGTGAGTTCATTACCTCTGTAACTTGCTCAGTTGTCAAAACTTTGGAGTCCAGTCCCTGGACCAATTATGTACCTCTGTAATCTTTTGACTACCGCCCACAGGATGGGTTAGGGGATACACAATAAACATACTAAACTAACTTCATGAAGAAACACGGCAGCTAGTTTCAGTTTTATTTTCTTCTGATTAATATCTCCAGAGTTGTCCCGTAGCTCGATTAGTAGCGCACTCAGCTCGCACTGAGATCCGGGGGTCGATCCTCGGTACGGGTGGAAATATTAGGATATGTTTGTTTAAGACACCTGCTGTCCATGTGTGTTAGTCGACTGGTGTGGGTCACATCCTTTGCAAATGTTTGATCTACGTTCCCTTTGTGTGCGCGTTCCTTTACAGTGTATAGTAGCGGTTTTAATGTATGTGTGATTTCTTTACAGATGGCACTACGATGTTGGCAGCTGGCGGCAGTGATGGTGCTGGTAATGGCAGCCTCAGGGATGGCAGCAGTGCGAGGCACCATAGGTAAGTCATCCCACATGCCTGCGTCTCTACACCTGCGTCTCACCTTCACCAGCAGTAAATAGGTACTTGTTGTTCCACTGCTGTTCTCACCTAGTTGTGGTTGCAGGGGTCGATTCACAGCTCCTGGCCCCGCCTCTTCACTGGCCTCTACTAGGTCACTCTTCCTGCTCCATCACTTCCCAGACTATTCCACTTCCTGACAACTCTGTGACAGAAGAAATACTTCCTAACATCCCTGTGATTCATCTGAGTTTTCAACTTCCAACTGTGACTCCTTGTTGCTGTGTCCCATCTCTGGAATATCCTGTCTCTGTCTACCTTGTCCATTCCTCTCAGTATTTTATATGTCGTTATCATATCCCCCCTATCTCTCCTGTCCTCCAGTGTCATCAGGTCGATTTCCCTTAACCTCTCCTCGTAAGACATACCTCTTAGCTCCGGGACTAGTCTTGTTGCAAAACTTTGCACTTTCTCTAATTTCTTTACGTGCTTGGCTAGGTGTGGGTTCCAAACTGGTGCCGCTTACTCCAGTATGAGCCTAACGTACACGGTGTACAGGGTCCTGATCGATTCCTTATTAAGATGTCGGAATGCTGTTCTGAGGTTTGCTAAGCGCCCATATGCTGCAGCAGTTATTTGGTTGATGTTCGCTTCAGGAGATGTGCTCGGTGTTATACTCACTCCAAGATCCTTTTCCTTGAGTGAGGTTTGTAGTCTCTGGCCCCCTAGACTGTACTCCGTCTCAGTCTATTTTGGGTGGCATCCTGGTGAGGCAAGGTTCTCTCTCTCTCTCTCTCTCTCTCTCTCTCTCTCTCTCTCTCTCTCTCTCTCTCTCTCTCTCTCTCTCTCTCTGTGTGTGTGTGTGTAAGAAATTCGTCCTGATGGAATTAGGTGTTAAGTAAATTATTATGTAGACGTTACAGAGTGCCTAATGACACTAATAGCTAGCAGAAATATATTATTGTTTGCTTATTACTATTATTATTAGTAGTAGTAGTGTTAATAGTAGTAATAATAGTAGTAGCAGAAATAGGAGTAGTTGTACTAGAAGTATTAATAGTAGTAGTAGTAGTAGCAGTAGTAGTAGTAGTAATCCATGTTTGATCAATCTAACAATAGTTTATCTAGTAATACAAATTATAAAACAAAATCTGTATAAACAAAGATGTGAGTCAGGTATTATTACATTGTATTTCATCGTATCTTCCCTTACAATGATCGGATATAAGATGCGACTTATAAGATGCGACTTAGAAGATGTGACTTACAAGATGCGACTTATAAGATGTGACTTATAAGATGCGACTTATAAGATGTGACTTACAAGATGCGACTTATAAGATGTGACTTATAAGATGCGACTTAAAAGATGCGACTTATAAGATGCGACTTATAAGATGCGACTTATAAGATGTGACTTACAAGATGTGACTTATAAGATGTGACTTATAAGATGCGACTTATAAGATGCGACTTAAAAGATGTGACTTATAAGATGCGACTTATAAGATGCGACTTATAAGATGCGACTTACAAGATGCGACTTACAAGATGCGACTTAAAAGATGCGACTTACAGTGAAGGTCTGGTACTTGCTTCTGGGGTTTGTTGAGACTGAGTTTATGTCCTGTCAAGACTGCAACAATACACAGATAACTCGCACATAGGAGAGAGGAGCTTAAGACGACGTTTCGGTCCTATCGTAAGTTTTCCCTACCTAATTCATGTCTGCATAATTAATGTATTACGACTGTAACCAGATATAAACATGTAAATACTTCATTACCACCGTAACTTGTTCGGCTATCAGAACGTTGAGGTACAGTCCCTGGACCCATTATGTACCTCTGTAATGTTGAGGTACAGTCCCTGGACCCATTATGTACCTCTAATGTTGAGGTACAGTCCCTGGACCCATTATGTACCTCTAATGTTGAGGTACAGTCCCTGGACCCATTATGTACCTCTGTAATGTTGAGGTACAGTCCCTGGACCCATTATGTACCTCTGTAATGTTGAGGTACAGTCCCTGGACCCATTATGTACCTCTGTAATGTTGAGGTACAGTCCCTGGACCCATTATGTACCTCTAATGTTGAGGTACAGTCCCTAGACCCATTATGTACCTCTGTAATGATGAGGTACAGTCCCTGGACCCATTATGTATCTTTGTAATGCTGAGGTACAGTCCCTGGACCCATTATGTACCTCTGTAATGTTGAGGTACAGTCTCTGGACCCATTATGTACCTCTGTAATGTTGAGGTACAGTCTCTGAACCCATTATGTACCTCTGTAATGTTGAGGTACAGTCTCTGGACCCATTATGTACTTCTGTAATGTCGAGGTACAGTCCCTGGACCTATTTTGTACCTCTAATGTTGAGGTACAATCCCTGGACCCATTATGTACCACTGTAATGTTGAGGTACAATCCCTGGACCCATTATATACCACTGTAATGTTGAGGTACAGTCCCTGGACCCATTATGTACCACTGTAATGTTGAGGTACAGTCTCTGGACCCATTATGTACCACTGTAATGTTGAGGTACAGTCCCTGGACCCATTATGTACCACTGTAATGTTGAGGTACAGTCCCTGGACCCATTATGTACCTCTGTAATGTTGAGGTACAGTCCCTGGACCCATTATGTACCACTGTAATGTTGAGGTACAGTCCCTGGACCCATTATGTACCACTGTAATGTTGAGGTACAGTCCCTGGACCCATTATGTACCACTGTAATGTTGAGGTACAGTCCCTGGACCCATTATGTACCTCTGTAATGTTGAGGTACAGTCCCTGGACCCATTATGTACCACTGTAATGTTGAGGTACAGTCCCTGGACCCATTATGTACCACTGTAATGTTGAGGTACAGTCCCTGGACCCATTATGTACCACTGTAATGTTGAGGTACAGTCCCTGGACCCATTATGTACCACTGTAATGTTGAGGTACAGTCCCTGGACCCATTATGTACCACTGTAATGTTGAGGTACAGTCCCTGGACCCATTATGTACCTCTGTAATGTTGAGGTACAGTCCCTGGACCCATTATGTACCACTGTAATGTTGAGGTACAGTCCCTGGACCCATTATGTACCACTGTAATGTTGAGGTACAGTCCCTGGACCCATTATGTACCACTGTAATGTTGAGGTACAGTCCCTGGACCCATTATGTACCTCTGTAATGTTGAGGTACAGTCCCTGGACCCATTATGTACCACTGTAATGTTGAGGTACAGTCCCTGGACCCATTATGTACCACTGTAATGTTGAGGTACAGTCCCTGGACCCATTATGTACCACTGTAATGTTGAGGTACAGTCCCTGGACCCATTATGTACCTCTGTAATGTTGAGGTACAGTCCCTGGACCCATTATGTACCACTGTAATGTTGAGGTACAGTCCCTGGACCCATTATGTACCACTGTAATGTTGAGGTACAGTCCCTGGACCCATTATGTACCACTGTAATGTTGAGGTACAGTCCCTGGACCCATTATGTACCTCTGTAATGTTGAGGTACAGTCCCTGGACCCATTATGTACCACTGTAATGTTGAGGTACAGTCCCTGGACCCATTATGTACCACTGTAATGTTTTGACCACCGTCCACAGGATGGGTATTGTGTGCATAATGAAGATATATAGTAGTATATAATTCTACATTCTTCACATTATGTCTTTGTATTGACAAAACAACTGGATGGCGAAACGTCTACAAATAAAGATACCCAGATATTTACAAGTGTCTAATTTTTCATTAGTTATTAAACTAACTAGGCTTTCACAGTATTGTGATGTGGTATAAGGTGTGTGTTTGTGTTGTTTTTATGTCAGACTTTCGCTATCCGGACTACATTGTGAAGCCGAGGGTGATATGTGAGCAGGAGGGCGTCTTCCCGCACCCCAGGAACTGTACTTGGTACTACAGGTCAGTGTCTCCCGCTCATGTGTTATACCTCTCTTGGTACGCCAGGTATCCGTGGCGTATCCATAACTAGTTTTTATTTATTTATTTATTTATTTATTAATTTGAACATGATACAGAGAAGCACAAGGAATACAGTTTTTAAAGTGCAGCATGCCAAAGCCCCTTGTATGCAGAGCATTATGGGCAGGCTTAAAATTAACTTAAGATTAACTAAGCAATGATATATTCAGTGGTACAAAAATTATTGTAAAACAGATAACAATTTAGTACAAATGAGTATTACAAAGACAGGTCATATGGTCATTACTGTGTTGTTGTGTAATCAGTAGAATGGAGTATTATGTTAGGTAATGAAGTTAAATAGTAACAAAGTTTGATTGGGTCACAGGTTGACATTTATGAGATACAATAATGAGATACATATATGAGATACAATTTATGAGATAAAATTTAAATTCAGTATTTATTTAGTTGTGGGTGATTAAGTGATTTTTGAGAAGAGACTTGAATTTATAAACAGTGTTTCTTTTATATTCACAGGTAATGAATTCCAGATTTTAGGGCCTTTTATGTGCATTGAGTTTTTGCATAGCGTGAGATGGACACGAGGAACATCAAAGAGTGATCTGTGTCTTGTGTTATGGTCATGTGTTCTGTTGAGGTTGGTAAGATGTTTGAGGGGAGGGTTTATGTCAGAGTTAAGTGTTCTATGTATGTAGTAGGTGCAGTAATAAGTATGGATGTTGTGTATTGTGAGTAGGTTTAGAGTTTTGAATATTGGTGGAGTGTGCTGTCTGTAGCGGGAATTTGTTATCATTCTAACTGCAGCCTTTTTATTGGGTAATTAGTGGTCTGAGATGGTTAGTTGTTGTTGAGCCCCATGCACAAATTCCATAGGTAAGATAGGGGTAAATAAGAGAGTGATATAGGGCCAGGAGGGCTGACTGTGGAACATAGTACCGTATCTTCGATAGTATGCCTACAGTCTTGGAAATTTTTTTGGAATTTTTTTTGGAAATTTGTTGTATATGTGTTTGAAATTTGAGTCTATTATCAAGGTGGATTCCTAAGAATTTTCCCTCTGTGCGTTTTGTGATAGGTGATCCATTTATCATTA